AGAGGCTGGCCCCAAAGGGAAAACAAACGACTGTGTGTGCACACACCGAGGTGTCCATTCTCCTGGACCTGCTGAAATGACCCTGCTTACGTGTTTTTCTCAGGGAAGGGGGAAGGATTATGTCCCCCCTCCCCCAGGGGAGGGAAAACTCAGCTAGTCTGCAGCTGTCCCCAAGAAACCCCCTCTCTCTGTCTTCAACCTAGCTACCTGGTAATGATGCTGAGGTCACCAACCAGGGTTCTCTCTACCTTTTCTGGAAATCCTGATTAGGCATCACCTCGGAGCGTGGGAATATTTGGTGCACATTGTGCCCCTATAGGTGTCCGGGCTTCAGTGAAAGGTAACTCGTGTAACATTTGACCATCCTGTATGGGGAGGTTGGAGCCTTCAAGGTGTCCTGCTCATCCTTGACGACTCGTGGCCACCCCACCCATGCCTGTCTCCTTGACATGGGGGAGGTGCGTACAGCGCAGTTAAATTTGTTCCTGTTTTACAGTTGAGGAGACTGAAGCTTAGAGAGTCAAGAAATTTGCTGAAGATCTTAGCCCCAGGAATCTCAGTGTCTTGACTTGGTCTCTGATCTCCTGACACCGCCCCACCCCACCCAGCATCCACAATGAGTGCTCTTGGGGGGCTTGCTAACTCACACTGTCTTATGCTTCCTGCTATCAAACTTGGATGGGACACTTGGCATAAATTACATTAGTATTACCCTGCTCCTATTCTGAGCTCTGTTAGCTCCTGGATGCCCTTATTCATTGCTCCTTTGGAGTGGCACAAAAATACTAAAAATTAATTTATTCCAGGTATGGTGGCCCATGCCTGTAATCCCAGCTACTGGAGAGGCTGAGACAGGAGGACCACATGTTTTAAAAATAATATTAAAAATAGGCTGGTGCTCAATGGTAAAGCACTTTCCTAGTATGCACGAGGCGCTGATTTCAAGCTCTCAAAAATTTTTTTACACTGAATTGCAGGATTGCTTATGCATCTGCCTTTCCGTCAGGACTTCCTTGGGAAGGTGCTTAAACCCATGGTCTTGGTGAGGCCCTAAGGGCAGTAGGTGGACAAGACCCAGTCTTTTTCTTTCTTCCTTTTTCTTTTTTCTTTTTAATTTTATTTAGTTGTAGATGAACACACAGGATCTTCATTTTATTTTATGTGGTGCTGAGGATTTAACCTGGTGCCTCGTACATGTGAGGCAAGTTCTCTGCCACTGAGTGACAGCCCCAGCCCAGACCTAGTCTTTTTCTTGGGGAGAGCGCTGTGTCACTCAGCCTCCCTGAATCCTACAAGGCAGGGAACCTGATCCTACCAGTTTTCTAGGGGAGACTACCCTGAGTGACAGTGACCACCAGCCAAGCGGTAGGACCCCTCTAGGCTTTGCCTCTGGCCTCCCAGGGGCCACGTTCTGCAGCCCTCTGAAGGCAGGAGTCTGACTGATTTGGGTTTTACTTTTTTTCCTCCTTCCCTCTCCCTCCTTCTCCTCTTTTCTTCCTGTCCCGTGTCGCCCTGCAAATGTGAAGTTCTTAAAACTTGAGGATCAGCACCTTCAGGATCCCCTGCGTTTCAGGAGACGAACCTCTCTGGGGGTGACTCATGCTGGTCTCAGAGGGTCTCTCCCGGGTGATCCTGCGCAGGTTGGGCATGGCTCCACAAAGCTCTGCTGATGCCACACTGCTGCGCCCGCACGCACCTGGTGGGGCCCTGGGGCATCTCACTGTCCTTATCAGAATGTGAGTCCTGAAGCTTGAGGGCCTGCTTGTCCTGTCTGATGTCGTGTGTTATGTGTGTGCCTCCCCCCAGCTTGTGACAGACTCTTTGTGAAGAGACTGATGTTCTGGAACTTTCTGTGTATTTCTTCCTAAGGCCAAGTTACAGTCAGACTTTCCAAAGTTGAAGGTTCAGTTTTGATTTACTGGTTTTGCTCCCACGGGTCAGGTGATTAGGAGAACTCAGTTCTTTTGACCTTCCCACCCCTAAACCTGGCCCGCCTCTGAGCCCCTGACCAGCAAGTCCAGCCGCTAACAGCTCCTCTCCCCGCTGTGCCTGCAGAGGACAGAGTCCAGGTGGGGGTTGGTGTACAGACCAGAGGAAGGCAGCTCCATTCTGCCTCCCAGGCTCCCGATGATCCTAGGAGGAGGGCCCTTCTGCACAGCTGGGCCTTGCCTGCCTGCCTGAGCACCCTGTCCCTGGTTCACCCTGGGATCCACCACGGAAACCTCGGGACTCAGAGTTGCAAATGCATCTCACACCAGTTCTGCAAACCAATTCCACTTGGACATCTGAACAGTGAACTCAAGCAAACAGCGTAAAAGGCTGGGAGGTAAGAGATTGCGAACGTGATCCGGGAGGGAGACTTTTGCATACTCTTATTTGGGTCACTCGTGTGTGTGCTGAGAAGTTCAAAGGCACCAATGCGTCACTGTCACTCAAAACTGCCTTTTCCCTCTTTGCCCCGCCCCCAGACTCCGCCTCCCCAGCCCCTGCCCAAGGTCACCTTCGTAATCACTGTCAGTTCTGGTGTATTCTTTTAGAGGGATTCTGTGTATTTTTTTTTTTTTAAATTAACATGAAAGTACATTCCTCTCACTGTTTCATACTTGCCTTTTCCAAAACGCAACTGATCATTTCTTATCGGGATGTGTAGGTCTGCTTCTTTTTAAAAAAAAAAAAAATATAGATTCATATTGTGGTTTAGATGTGGTGTCTCCCAAAAGCTCTCGTGTGAGACAATGCAAGACGCTTTCAGGAGAAATGATTGGGCCACAACCTTAACCTAATCAGTGAACTCATCCCTGATGAGATTAACTGAGTGGGGGCTGGAGGCAGGGGGTGCGGCTGGAGGAGGTGGGTCGTTGGGGGCGTGGCCATGGGGTCTATATTTTGTGTCTGTCTCTGTTTTGAGCTCTCTCTGCTTCCTGCTCATCATGTGAGCGGGCTCTCTCTGCCACAGCCTTTCTCCACCATGTACAGCCTCACCTCCAGCCTGGAGGAATGAAGTCGGCTGCCTATGGACTAAGACCTCTGAAACCCGGAGCCCTCAAATAAACTTTTCCTCCCCTAAAATCATTCTGGTCAGATCCTTTGGTCACAGCAACGAAAAAGCAGCTGACTAAAACTCTTAATATGTTTTAATAGCAAGCTTACAGGAAGAGCACAGAGGACAGATCATTTCAAATCTGAATTTGCACGTAGGACATCATCTCGAACAAGTTCAGTAAATGGATGGAACAACAGAAGAAGAAAACACCTCCCATACCATTTAGTTGTAAGAAGTCTGTTTTTTAAAGTCCAGATTCTGGTATTGCCAAGAAAAGTTTGACAAGGTTTTAAAACATTATTATAAAAAAGTTAAATTTCTGCAACTTGTTCACCATCATTCTTATTGCATGAAAGCTGTACGACCTGCATTTATGTTATCACTTGCACACAAAGGAAAACGGGAACTGCCTGGATCTGATTTCTGTCCCCGTTTTCCATGACTGCCCGCCCAGCAGTCACACAGTGCTTAGGTACCTTTGGGCCCCAGGGGCAAAAAGACACCTGACGTTCAGAACCACCAATAACAGGAAGAAGAGAAAGATTCATTTTTCAAAAATGCAGTGTTTCCTATCAAGTGGCTTTTTAAAGATGTTCTGCCCCAAGAAAGGTGGTGAGCTGCGAGTGTTTTTTTGCAAATTGTCACAGTTGGGCACAGGTGGTGCATAGTGTCCCCAAAAAGGTTGGGACCATAAAGCCTGTCGGCTTCTGAAAAACACCAACAGCTGCTTTCTGGAATCCCAGTTCTGCTTTGAAGTGCCAAGCACCTTTGGACACCAGACAATGGAAGGAAAATGGGCAAATCTGAAGTTTACCAGATTTCCCACCATGTCTGATTGCATGGAGAGCTAAGGCACCTCTAGTCTTGCGGTTGCTTCCCCTGTCCAGCAGAGGGCGCGCGCTTCAGGGTTTTGTAGCTGGTTGCTTGGGGTGGATTTGCAGGCCCCTGGAACCTTGCTTGTTCCAGCCACGGATAGAGGGCACTCTTTTACCTGCTTCTCAGTAGGAGCTCAGTGAGCTGGAGGCAGTGCTGGTCTGGGGGAAACAGGCAGCACAGGGCCAAATCCAGTGACCATTCCATGATTTATTTCCTCAGTCTCATTGTTAGCTTCTTTCCAGTTGTTTGCCACTAAAATCATGAATATCTGTGTGCTTATGTGTGTGATATTTGTTTTACTGATTTCTTGGAACATGTTCCTATAAATTTAATTTCTTTTTTTTTTTTTTTTTTTTTGGTACTGGGGATTGAACCCACGGACACTTAACCACTGAGCCAAGTCTTCAACTCTTTTATTTATTTATTTATTTTGAGGTAGGGTCCGGCTAAACTGCTTAGGGCCTTGCTAAATTGCCAAGGTTGGCCTTGAACTTGTGATCCTCCTGCCTCAACCTCCTGAGTCACTGGGATTACAGGCATGTCCCACTGCACCCGTCTGATCCTATAAATTCTTAGAAACAAGCAAAACAGTCGATGAGAGCATTATGAATTTTGATAACAATAGTAAAAAGCTTCCCACCAATGCTGTAAAATTTGTGTACTCACTCAAGTTTCTGCAAGTGCCTATTTTCTCATTACCTTGGCTACCCAACATACTGCCACCTATCTAACCATCAGCTCCCTCTCGGCCTGAGAGATGAGTGAACCCTGAAGCTGCAGATTTCCTTTAACATGAGCTGTGTATTTAATGCTACCGGTACCTTCCCCTCCGTGAAGACACCTCTTTCCCCCTCCCTCCCCATTCAATTTTTTTCCATTTCTCTTTCTCCCTCCCTCCCTCCCCCTTTTTCCCCCTCTTTCTTTCCCTCCCTCCCTCTCTCTCTCCCCCCTTCCCTTCCTCTCTCTTTCTTTCTTTCCTTGCCACCCTCCCTCCCTACTGCTTCTCTCTCTCTCTCTTTCTTTTAATGGGGCAAGTGCTGCACCACTGAAGTAACACCCACCCCCTAATATTTAAAATTCTACTTTGAGTCAGGGTATCACTAAATTGCCCAGACTGGCCACTTGGGATCCTCCTGCCTCAGCCTCCTGAGTCACAGAGATCACAGGCGTGTGCCCCAGGGCCAAGCTTCATAGTCAAATTAATTACATTTTCTTTTATGGGTTTTGGACTTCAGTTCCTGATGAGGAAACACACACATACACAGGCACACGTATTATACATATTATAATTATAAATACAAAATTAATCTTGTCATCTTTATACTTTTTAAACATTTCATTTTTGACATTAAATTGTTACTTCATCTGGAATGTATTTGCAGTACAAATAAGAAAGTCAAAATCAATTGTCTGCATGGTTGCATTATCCTGATAACAATGATTGGAGATTTTTCTTTCTTTCTTTAAATGTCAAAGATGAAATTGAGAGGATTTCTTTTAGCCTAAAAATAATGGAAAAATATTACAAATAGTGGAAAAAACTACAATGTAAAGATCAATGTAAATGTCAAATTTCTGCACATGAAAATGTGCTATATATGAAATTTAAAAGTTAAAAAAAATGTAAGCTTTTTGCCTTTCAAAGTAGGACAAAGGATTATATTTAAACTATAAAGAACTCCAACCAATAAATAAATATAGGCAATTGAATATGAAAATAAGTAGGTCTAGAGGAGTCATTGACAAAATACCAAGATTAAAATAGGAAAAAAATACTAATAATTGAAGAGCAAACTTTCTTTTGGGCCTATGCTACCTGCCAGTACTGTGTTGGAAATGTTTTTTTGGGGGCCTATGCTACCTGCCAGTACTGTGTTGGAAATGTTAATATTGGGAGAGAGAGAATTTAATGAGGCAGACACGTTACTGGTAGTAAAGTAAATCTGTACATCTTGGTGAAGAAATTTAGAAACACCCATAAAAAGCTTCCAAGTGGTACTCTTCTTGGATCTATCATTCTGTTTTGAGGAATCGACTTATAAAAACAACTAGAGATATTAATTTGTGGAATAGGATAAAACACACAATATTTATTTGTGATACCAAAATATCTCAAAGAACATGATGTCCATCCTTCAACATTCAGGAGCTTTAAAGTCAACTTTAAATCTGAATCCTGGAGCTGGCTTGTACTCATAAAAGAGAGCTGATGGTGCACAATGTTCAGTGACAGTGACATTACATGGGGAAAGTCATAGAACTGACCTCAGTGGGAGCATTGACATCAAGGAAATTGGCAAATGGTATGAAGAGGCAAATAGGGGTCTCCTCCCAGCACCCAGAGAACATTTGCCAGAACATTACCACTTGAAATTACATAAAACCCATAGAACAGACCACCGTGGGGGCTTGTAAAATAATCATTTTATAAAAAAAAAAATCTGCTGAAACTGTATAAACATTGTACTCCTAATTATTACTACATATAGATAGATACATCGTTTGTGTTTTATTTTTCACTTTGAAACAAGTATAAAATAATCTACAAAAGACTTAACCAGTTTTGTCTCTAGGAAGTGATATTAAAGATTGTTTTTAATGTTCATTCATTTATTTATTTAAAATAACTTTATTTTATTTATTTATTTTTAATGTGGTGCTGAGGATCAAACCCAGTGCCTCACATGTACTAGGCAAGTGATATACCACTGAGCCACAGCCCTAGCCCAGGAAAATATTTTTATTGCTTTAGGTTTTGCATTTTCCAACTCTAGAATCCCTGGCTTATGATAGTTGGATTTCCAGTATTTTGACTTTTCCATGGTTCAAAGGAGATATTCACTTAATAAAAATTCTGAATCAGGTTTGGATTCTTTACCAGGCCTACTGATACGGTATGTAAGTCACAGCTCCCAGTCAACCACATGATCAGGGGGTAAACCGTCCACCTTACGATGTGCTGAGCTGCTAAGTGGGGAAGCTTGGTAAGTTAGGTGTATTAAGTACCATTTTCAATTTAGGATATTTTAAATTACAATGGACTTATCAGGACATAACCTGATTGGAACTTGAGAAGCATTGGTATATGAATTTCATAATCAGAAAATAAAATTTAAATAAAGTAGTCTCTTGAGGACACGTGTAGATTGTGCTTTGGTTGAATTGGTGCTAATGGTTATTTAGGAGGTTGCCAGGAATTGGGGAGGATGAAGACAAGGTCATCAAAGAGCTGCAGACCAAGGGTTTGCTTTTCCTTGAATGGGTCTGTTTTCACACACGTACCACACTGTTTTAGTTGATGTGGACTTACAACAGGTTTTTGTAGCTGGAAGCATAACAACTGTACTTTACTCTTCTTTTTTGAAAAATTATGTTAGCTATTCTAACTTTTTACAAAAGTAACTCTACAATTGCTTCTGTCAAATTTGAAAAACTTCTAGGGTCTGTAGCTCAGTGGCAGCGCACTTGCCTAGCATGCGTGAGGCACTGGGTTAGATCCTCAGCACCACATAAAAATAAGCAAATAAAAATTGAAAAACTTCTGTTGGCTTAATTGTTGTTACGTTAAATCTTTATTTAATTTGGGTTGAATTGACATCTTTTTCCCATGAGTGTCTTCCCATTTGGGAACATGTTCCTTCAATATTCTTAAATCTTCTTTTACAGCCCTCAGTAAAGTTTTATATTTTGCTTCGTATGGATTCTTCCATTATCTTTTTGGAGTCATCCTTAGGGATTTTTTTTTATTGTTGTTATTGAAGAAGGAGTCACTTCCCCCCCCCCTTCATAGCTTCAAATCTGTTATAGCTGGTATAAAATAATGCTATTGGCTTTGGCCCACTAGCATATATCTGGCCCCATGGCTGAATTTCATTATTTCTTAATAGCTTTCTGATGATTCTCCTGGGCTTTCTTGATGTATCGTCCTGTCCGACAGTAACATGATTTCTTCTCTTTCCCCAGATCTCTCTTATCTGCCCGCTGTATGGAGTTGCATTGCATGAGAATCCAGGAACAATGTGGCCTAACAAACACAGCCCCTGGCATCCTTTCCTTGTTCCAGCTTAATGACAATATCTGTGATGCTTCCCCACGGAATGTGAGATGAAGTCTGACATTTTGCTTTTCCTAATTTTAGAAAAATGTTAAAGATTTAGATTAAGAATGAATACCAAATTTTATTAACTGCCCCTGTGACATTCGTTAAGACCGCACACATGCATTTCATTATGTAGTAGATCAGCTGCTATCAGGCAGCTGGCTTTCCAAGGGACTCGACTTGGTCCTGGTGGATGCTGTCACGAACAAATTTGGTCTTTGGGTTTGCTAATGCTTACTTGGTTTTCCACTTGTATTTTGTGTAAGTGGGATGAGTGTGGGTGGGTGTGCATGAGTAAATCCCTGGGCTTGGAGTCCAGGCCAGTCCTGACATCTGTGGGACCTAAGACAACGAGGCCATGAATAAAGGCCCTTGGGGCAGAGCACAGACAGAAGCCCACACTCTCTGTGCCTAGGCATCCAAAAGGTGCGAACCAAACTGCTGAACCACTAAACAACATATTTTATCTTGCCTTCTCAAATATACTCATCCAATGACCAAAAAAAAAAAAAAAAGGATAAAGCTATGACTTTTTATGACTTTTTAGTATAGCTACACTGTAGCAAAATATTTTTTAAAAAATGACTCTAGGGGCTGGGGCTGGGGCTCAATGGTAGTTACCTGACATGTGCGAGGCACTGGGTTCAATTCTCAGCACCACATATAAATAAATAAAAATGAAGGCCTATCAACAGCTAAAAAAGCACTTTTTAAATAATTGACTCTACTCATTACCATGTATGTATGTCTGGTTGCTCTTGTGATAGACAGTCAATATCTGGTTATATAATAGAATATATTAACATGAAATCCTAAGAACAGTATTTTAATCCTTACATTTCAGCAAAATCTCCTGTCATTATAATCAATATTAGCACACAATAGTTTCTATTGATAGTAATGAGCTAAAGGATTAAAAATAAACTTTTTTTTTTTTGGTGTTAGAAATTGAACCCAAGGGATGCTCTGCAACTGATCCACATCCTCAGCTTTTAAATTAATTAATTAACTAATTAATCAATCATATTTATTTATTTATTTTGAGACAGGGTTTTATTAAACTGCTGAGGCTGGCCTTGGATTTTTAATCCTCCTGCCTCAGCCTCCTGAGCTTCTGGGATTATAGGCATGCATCACCATGCCCAGCTAAAATATAATTAAATGCCAAGTACTACATATAAAATATGAGTATATTTTTTATAAAAATGTAAAAGAAGAATTTTCCTATTTTTGAATCATGATTTTTTTTCTTCTAAAATATTAAAAATCATCTTTTACTTGATAAGGTTATACAAATATGATTAATGTGCAATTTTAAGTCAGAATTATTGAAATAAAGCAGAAGTTCAATGTAAATTTAATTAGATCTTATTACATATTTTAGGAAATATAAAACCATCTGCAGTTCTAGCAGAGATGCCTTGTGTGGTTGTATGGATCGATGTTTAGACAAACTTAGGAGTAATATGAATTCTTAGCATTAAAATGTTAAAACATTCCTCAGCTGTCGCGAGCCTCTGGAAATACGCTAATTCTCGAGTACCTTCAGAAGCACTTGTTGTAACACAAAAAGAAGCAGAGAGAGGAACAACCGTACTCCCAGAACACTCCACTGCTCAGAGCCTCCTGCACTTCTGCTGTCTGAGGCGACGGTTTGGCAATCTGCATATTCGTCTTCCCTCTTCCTAAGAACTCTGCCTTTCCCAGGCTCAGTGCAGGGTCTGTCTCCAAAATCAACAGAAACACAACCCACAATCCACACACTTATCTTTTGTTCTGATGACGTGGATAAGAGACAAGAGGAGTGTTTCAGTTTCTATGGGTCCTGAAGGTGTCAGCGGATAAGAATGCGTGTTAGGATTGTGTGGCCAGCGCTGAGCACCCGGCTCTCAGAGACAGAGGTGCCACCGGCTCTTCAGTTCATTTGTATGTGCATATATATGTGTGTGTGTGTGTGTGTGTGTGTGTGTGTGTGTGTTTTTCTGTGACTTACCTTCACATGGATCTACAACCAATGTGTCTATATACACACACAGAGAGAGACGCACATTATATATATACTTTCCTACATAGGTATATTTCTCAAGTCTATTTATCTACCATTTATCTATCAAGAGGAACAAAAACAAATGTGGTACAATGTCAATAGCTAGTAAATCTAGGAGACAGATGGCTGTTGGTTGTGCAATTCTTTTTAACTTTTCTGTGTATTTGATATTTAAAAAATCCGGCTTGCTTCTTTCCTCTTGTTTGTTTTGATCTCAACCTTGTCTTTAACAGAGCTAATGCTCTATCTATGTAGTGGTCTAGTCTTTGCAGGGCTTTGGGCATCCCCACAATTGACCTCTTCCCTGTGTAGCTGTTAGGGGATCGGCAGGTTTGGGAGAGCTGTTAGGGGATCGGCAGGTTTGGGAGTTTCCTGGGCATGTACTTTGGAGGGGAATAGGAAAAAAGAATTGAAAATAAATGCAAGGGGATAGTTATGAAAATCGGAAGTGGGCTCTGGACGTGGGCTCTGGGGGAGGAGGGAAGTGAAGGCCGAGGGAGGCTGATAGAGGGGAGACCCTGGTGGAGTGAGTGAGTGATGCTGGGGGTTGGTGGGCTGTGGCCAAGGGCAGGAGACCCAGCTTCTAAGAGCGTCACTTGAAGGATGGTCAGTTATTTGTCATGACAGAATCTGGGGATCAGAGGGAGACTGCATCAGGGGCTAACCAAAGGAGTCAGGGCGAATTTCCTGAACATTCCAGAGTCAGCCATTAGCAGCCAAGGGCAGAAACTCATTCCAAACTTCCTTGGACAAGGCACTTTGCCTGTCCGAGACTCCGTTTCCTCATCTGTAAAACAAGTCCCACCCTCAGAGGGTTAGTGCTCTTGGACGGAACCACTTGAAACTGTTAGCAACCACTTTTGATCTGCAAAAATGTGATTTCCTTAGAGTTCAGTCTGATATTTTAACATCTTATTCCTTTTTTTTTTTTAGTTGTAGATGGACACAATACCTTTATTTTATTTGTTTATTTCTATGTGGTGCTGGGGATCGAACCCAGTGCACCACACATGCTAGGCAAGCACTCCGCCACTGAGCCACAACCCCGGCCCACATTTTATTCTTTTCAATAAAGGTCATGTATTATGTTTCCAATGCCATATGGTTCAATAGTTTGAAGTGCTGGTTTATAATTTCCTAACTTGGAGGTTGTCACATGCTTCCTCAGGCCTTGAGGTCCCCGCTGTTCGAACAGAGTGCACGTCTGTCTGCAGAGCACCCCTTACTGCTGGCCCAAGGTCTGCATGACTCGGGTTCATGGACTGATTTCTTCCAGCCCACATATGGTCATTTCTCTCTGGATATTGGCCAGCCTTGGAGTGGGCTTCTGAAGGCTAGGGCTGGGTGACAAGCTCTGCCAAGGTGCAGGGGAACCCAGGACTCCAAAGGCAGAAGTGGGTACCAGAGCCAACCTGCTGAGCCTGGGCAGACGCCTGGAGAAGGGGCTGAGTGGCCTGGCTGCGTGGTCAGGGCTCCTTGGCACAGGGTTCTGGGTCCGAGCACTTCTGAGTGGGGCTGATTCCCCAGCGTGCTGGAGAGTGCCGTGGACCGTCAGATTACTGTGGGTACAGGATGTTTTGTCCTTGACTTGGAGACTTTTTATTTATTGTTCCACTTGCTGTTGGGTTTCTCTGTCAAGTCACAGCATCAAAGAATTTGAAAATGAACTTTGTGTGCACATGAAAGCATTACGTCACCAGGGCTGGCCCTTTCCCATAACCACGTAGGATAAAAATGTCACGTCGCTGGTCCTCGGGAGTCACTTGGCACAAGGACTGTATTTTGGAAGAGCGGAGGGGGATGATAATGAGAAGGAGGGTCCTTGTTTAGGAATCAAGATCCTTTGAGTCACGCATTCAGAAGACGGGAGGGACTTCAGGAGCCCACAGTCCAGCTGCCTGCTAACGGGAGGATCCATGACATTGATTTGAAGTGATTAAAGGCTCTGACTCGGTGGTTCCTCTTAAGGCATCTCGGGCAAGGCTGTCCAAGACGCTGTGTCGATGACTGTCCTCGGCTCAGCAGGGGGAAGGCGCTCCACAGGGACATTGTGGAAGGGTCTCCATCCATTGTCAATAGCAGTGTCCTGGCGAAAAAGACCAGGACTTTCCCCGTGAGGCCTGGTGACCGCACACAGATCAAGAGCACCTGGCCAGGCAGGCCGTGGGACACGCCTCCAAAGAGAGGGACAGTGGAAGGACGGCAGTGAGTGAGGTGTTGGTTCTGGAATGCCTCTCGGGAGCTGAAGGCAGGTTGGGAAGGGCAGAGACCAACAGGGAGCAGGGCTGCTTCCACGGGGGGAAGCAGGGGTTGTCCCCCGCTAGCCGGGACAGCGGGTGAAGATTGAAAGAGAGGAGCCAGAAAACTGTGAGCCACTAAGGACGTGCAGCATGACCCCACTTCTGGGCTCACGTGAAGAGTGCGGCAGTGAACTCGGGCAGAGACCTCTCTGGGATCCTGCTTCCAATTCTTTTGTACCCAGAAGTGGGATTGCAGGATCAGACGGTGGGTCTGTATGCAGTGTTGTAAGGTGTCACCATCCCTGTCACAGCTGTCACCCATCTTCCATTGCTACCAGCAGCGCACACCAAGGGCTCTGGTTTCTCCACAAACTCTTCTTTATTGATAATAGCCATCCCAACAGACAGGAGGTGCTACCTCACGGGGTTTTGTTTGTTTGTTTTGGGGTACTGAGGTTTGAGCCCAGGGATGCTCTACCACTGAGCTACATCCCAGCCCTTTGTATTTTTTTGAGACAGGGTCTTGCTAAGTTGCTGAGGCTGACCTTGAACTTACGATCCTCCAGCCTCAGCCTCCCGAGTTGCTGGGGTTACGGGTGTGCACCACTGTGCTGGCTTTGCTGTGAGGTTTTCATTTGCATTTCCTGGTGACAGGGGTGTTGAGCATCTTTCCATTTGCCCACTGTCTTTTGTATGTCTTTTTGGAGAGGAGTCCTTGCCCCAATTTTTCCCCACATTTTTATTGGTGCATTATAGTCGTACTTAAGATGGGACCTGTTGTTACGTACTCATACGTGTACATAGTGTAGTGATGTAACTCGGCCAATACCACTCCCCAGCGTTTCCCCCTCCTTAACTCCTCCCACTCCTTGGTCCCTTTCCTCTGATCATCTCCCTTTGATCTTCATGAGCTCCACTCCCACCTTTATTTTCCTTTTTCCTCTCTAGCTTCAGCATATGAGAGTGAACACATGACCCTTGACCTTCTGAGTCTGACTCACTTCTTTTAATACAATGGTCTCTAGTTCCACTCATGTTCCTGCAAAAGACATAATTTAATTTTTTATGGCTGAATTAAACTCCATCATGTGTATAGACCATATTTTCTTGATCCAATTCATCCATGGATGGACACCTAGGCTGGTTCCGGAGTTTGGCTGTTGTGAATCATGCTGCTATAAACCTGTGTATCTGTGTACACTGCTGATTTAATTCTTCAGCATAAACACTGAGG